ACGGCGGACCCCTGCCCGCAGCAGCCAGAGCCCACTGCAAACAAGAGGGGCTGTGGCCCCACAGCAAGTACCCCCCATCTGTGGGGCAGATCAGCCCCTGCCCCTCCATACTCACCTCTTCTCCCAGAGGGGATCAGCTCACACCACAGGGCAGGGGGAGACCCCAGCCAGGGGCTCAGACTCACCAAGGGGCCAAGCGCACCCAGTGCAGGGGGGGTAGGGGGCTCTGGGCAGCTCTGTGCTCACTCCCTGCTCAGCCCCTTTCACCCCCCCATCACAGCTCCATCTCCAAACCAACATTAAGTTTCAATCAACAACCCCCCAGCCCTTCAACGAGCACCAGGAGGGTCTCACCACCCTGAGCCAGCTCCAAAGCGGGTCTCACCACCATGCATCCTGTGGGAGCCGCTCCGAGGAGCTGGAGAGGGGGAAAACAGGCCTGGAAGCAGGCAAGGACAGAGGTGGGCGCAGACCCCATCGGCTTGGACCTCTCCAGGGCAGAACTGATCCTGACAGCCCCAAACCAGGGGCAGAGGAGCAGTGGAGGCATCCCCTTCCCGCGGGCAGGGCCAGGGCGGAGGGCAGGCAGCAGCACCGCCGGGACACACACACACAAAGGCAAGAAGAAGCACTTGCTTTCGCTGAGCGAGGGGATGGATTTGGGCCGGCAGCAGGGCAGCAGTTTGAGGAATCGCTGCTTCAGCGCTTTTTTAGTTTGGCCTGGCGGGTTGCCTGGAAGAAAGAAGGAGTCACCAAGCAGAAGAAGAGTTAACAGAGCAGCGGCCCCCGACCCGGCGGGCAGCAGCCCGGCGCAGGGGGAGCGGGGCCGGAGGCAGCACATGCAGCGCAGCGCAGGAGGAGCAGGAAGGCAAAGCCCAGCCCAGGCTCTGCTCGGCCTCTCTGCTTCATCCCAGGACAAACCCGGCACTGAGTTTTCCTCCTTGGGAAGGATGGGGATGGCAAAGAGGCAATCTTGCTGGGCTACTCACACTCAGCCCCTCTGCACCCCCCCATCGGAGCGTGCTGACCCCAGAAAACAGCCTGCATCCGAGCCAGGGCATTGCATCCCCCCCAGGGCTCGGGCTGGGCTTGATCCTGCTGGCACCCAGCAGCTGAACACGAAGCATGCACCGAACCCAGCCATGCAGCCCAGACCCCAGCCTGCACCCCCGCCCCAGCGTGGCACTGGGATCCGAGCCCGGGGCCCTGCTTTGGGACAGCCAGAAGGGGACAGGGCGCAGGGCTTTGCCTCGGCCAGGCTATGGGGCAGCGTGAGGGGCTCCCCACGTCAGCCTGGCCCACGGCCATCACTTCCAAGTGGCCCTGCATAAACTGCAGGTCCCTCCGCTGCTTAGACCTCCCTGCCACCCCCTGTTCCCCTATCTTGCACCCCAGGGGCTTTGCTCATCCCCATCTCTCCCAGCTGACACTGCCCCATGGCCACAGACCCGCTCCCTCCCTTCCCGCAGTGCCTCAAGCCAGCAAACTCAGTGCAGGACTAATGCTGCAGGCAGAGAGGGGAGAAAGAGGAGAGGATGAAGGCCATGCCGGGCTCCAGCCCCCAAAGGGGCACTGATGGGATGAAAGGTACAAAGTCCCTTTGGGGCTCTGCTGACACCGCGTTTGCTCCAAGCACCCTGGACACCTGCAAGCAGCAGGTCACAACACCTATGCATCCCAAGCCCTGGTTTTGGGTTGTTTCTCTATGGGGCTAACACGTGGGACTTCTCTGGCAGCTTTCTCAGCCTTGTTGGGCTGAGCTGAGCCCCAGGTGCTGGGGAAATGGTGCTGCGTGGTACCCAGCTCCAGGACAGGGACGTGGGTCTGCATCCAGCAGCCCCTGCTAGGCTGGTTGGTCCGAGTGCCCATAGGCAGGATGTGGGACCCTTTGAGCCCATGCCAAGGCAGCAGGCTGGAGCAGGCAGCTCCATCACTCTGGGGCAATGGAGAACAGCCCAGGAGGTCATTGTCCCAGCAGGATGTCACACAAAGCCACTCAGAGAGGGCAAGCTTGTCCCCAGGGAAGCAGCATCCACAACAGGGTGCCAGTGACATGCAAACACCTAGGGCTGCATGAGTGCACCCCTTGGCATTTGTCATGGGGCAACAGTGGCAAGGATGAGGGCCAGGATCCCAGCGCTGGCAGGACAGCACAGCCAGGCCCCTCTACTCTGGGGTTTGCGGGCAGTTGAGGAAAAAGGCTCTTTCCTTGCTAGAAGCAAGCACCAGTTGTGCATAAAATGATTTTGGCCCAGCTACTTTTCCAGGGCTTTAATTTGCAGAGGGAAAGGGAAATTGCACCTTTCAGCCTTCAGAGGATGCCCTGAGGCCAGGTCCCTCCCGCAGAGCTATGGGAGGGACCTGGGAGCTATGGGAACAGACCTGGGAGGCCGGAGCAGCCCCTTTGCCCAGGGGGAAGGGACTGGGTGGGCAGAGCAACACCCAACGACGGGGTGATGGACTGGGGAGGGAGCAGGGCAGGAGGGAAACCACACAGCGAGAGAGATGCAACAGAGAGTAAACTGTGGTTGGACTCACAGGGGCAGCAGGTATAGGCACGTGCAGTAGGTCAGGTCGGGTGCAAGTTACACTTTAGTTTGTTATAAAGAAGGAAAAAGAAAAAAAAAAAAGAACATGGGCATTTTCTTAAGGAGGAAATCGAAGAGGGCCCGATTCCAGGGGCCCTGGGGCAGGGTAGGGAGCACGTTCAGCACATGCAGCTTAACAGGACAGAGGTGACCAGAGCTGGGGTTTTGCTGTCCTGGCTTTGGTGCGCCAAAGGATTCTGCTGGGAAGAACGTGCCATCCCCTCTCTCCCCCCCCATCCATACCAGCAAGTCTGAGAGCTCTCTGGGCTCTCCTTCGCTGGGAAACAGCTCTGCCCGAAGAAGGAGAGCGGAGCCTGGCCACATGCTGCTCCGCTGGGCCCAAGAGACATCCGCAGCACAAAGCCCTGTCCCTGCCAGCAACAGCTCCTTTTCCAGATGTCACTCTGCCCTCCACCCCTCTGCAAAAGCCATCAAGCATCTGGCGCAAAACAAGCCAACAGAAAGGACTGGCCATGTTTTATCTGCGGTGGGAGGTCTGCTGGGTTAGGTGGCTTGTCACTTCTCATGCACTACTCCACAGCTCATCAACGTCGAAACGCGTGCACACACGCACACAAACCGAGCCTCCATCCTTGGGCAGCACCAAAAGGGGAAGGGATTTCCCATCCACACCTCCACAGGCTGCTGGACACTGGCTCTGAAGGGGCCCACGGCAGGCAGACCCCTGACCCCAGCAGTGACCACCACAGGGATGGCCATGTACCACTTTGTACTGAGCCACCAGCAGCTGATGTGTCCTTGAGGGCTGGATCCAGCCAGTGCCGCCATGTCAGGGGGTTACACACTGCTGGGCTGACACCCCCCATCCCAGGGAGGGCCCCTGGGCTGCTCCATGGTATCCCCACAGAGAACGCAGGAGCTGGGGTCAGCCCAATCCATAACGACATCCCTGCCCTCCCCACAGAGCCACAGCCACCATCATGCTCCTGGTAACAGCTGGCTGGGGAGAGCAACCCAACCCCTCCACAGCACCCTCCTGCTAGAAAAGACACTACAATAACAAACCAACAAGCAGTGCCAAAACTCCCCCCTCACTCTCAGTCACCTCTCCATAAATGCACTACGATGAGTGGAAGATGTGCATCCCACCGTGGTGAGACCCACCCCCGGTGTCCCCAGCTCAGCACCTGGGCACAGTACCATTCCAGGATGGGAGCAGAGCACCAGCAGCCACAGGATGGGTGATGCAGCTCCCACAGCCCCTGCTTTGCCCCATGGGGCAACATCAGGGAAGCAGGGAGGTCAGGAGGAGCTGGTACCCCAGGTGTGATCTGCCCCAGCACCCTGCCCTAGGAGCAGGGTTTGGGCAGTGGAAGGCAGCTGGGCAAGGGGACCCTCTGCCTTTTCAGACAGCGCGGCTGGGAAGCAGGAGGGTGAACCCTAGCCAGAGTAGAGGGATGCGCCAGAAGAATGGGCAGGGCAGGCCAAGGGGAGCATGGGGAAGCGGTCAGTTCCCAGAACATGCTCTTTTCAGCAGAACAGCCTCCATCCCCTTCCAGGGCATCACCTTTTCCCAGGAGGCCAGAGGCACATCCCCAAGCTCCCCCTGCCAGGCCATGGTTCTGGGTCCATCTGGGCAGAGATGCTGAGCCCAGCTGCCCCTGCAACCTGTGGCTTGTGATCATGCCCATGCAGGGCTCCGCTCCGAGCAGGCTCTACTGGCCCCCAGCCCTGCTCCTCCTCCACAGTGCCCAACCTCAGGCAGTGCCATCTCCCAGTTCTCCAGGGTCTGCTCTGAAGGCTGACAGGAGGAAGAGACAGCGAGCTCCCCCAGCCACCCTAGGGTGGGGGTCAGGACGGGTCCCGCCAGCAGCAGCTCTGCAAATGACCCTCATCAGTCAGCAGTGACAGAGCCAAGTGTAAATGGGGCCAAGGTGCCTGCAGCAGCTGCTGGGGCCAGACGGTCATCCATTAGGGGAATGGAATCAGAGCTGGCATCTCCCGTAGCCAGGGACAGACAGAGTCCCTGTCCGGGGGGTGGGACAACGGCAGCCTCAGCCCAGACACTCAGAGCCAGCAGGGCTCAAGGAGCTGGGGGCAGCAAAGCTGCCACACAGGACCTCAGGTCATGGGACAGCAAAGACTCGGGACCAGGATGTTCCCCAGTGCCAGGGAGGAGAGAGCAGCTCCTTGACCCTCATGCCGAGCAGGGCCCTAAGGGATATGGGGACATGAGCCAGAAAGGGCTGCAGAGCAGAGTGGGGCTCACAGCAGTGCTGTCCCCATTTCCATCCCCAGCCTGTGACAGTGCTCCCAGACAGCCTGGCTGTGCCCAGAGGAGATGCTAGCAGAACAGTAATTTCCCAGGCTACACCACATACAAAACATTGCAAGCAGGGAACAGGGCAGGTGCCAAAGTGCTGCAGAGCTCAGGGGCTCCCCAAATGGAACAGGTAAGGCTGCGGGACTGGGACAGCCATGTGTATCACCTTGCCGCAAAACCCATGCACAAGGACACATCCTGCCCTGTCCCCAACACCACCGCCATGGCAGGGACACCTCTGGCAGCAGGAACCAGCACATCCAAGGTTCCAGAGGAGCTACCCAAGAAATGCCCCAGCAGAGCAGCATCTCCTTTTGGCTGCAGGCAGCGTGACCTGCAAGAGAGCTGGTGCTCTGCATACCCATTACCCAGATGCCATCCATCCCAGCCCCAGGAAGGCACAAGGATAAGGCCTGGGCATGCCTCAGCCACAGCCCAGCCAGACCCCAGGCAGCTCAGACAGAAGTGAGTTGAAAGCACCTCCTGGGCACAGCACCCTCTTCCCCTCCTTGTGTTCAGCCACTAATTGCTCCTCTGATCAGTCCTATCCGCACATCCTCCCATCACAGCTCCCATCCCCAGATCCGGCTTCCTAGGAGGATGCAATCTGCAGCCTCTTCATCTGGCAGCATCCCCAGCACCAGTCAGGAGGCAGAGGGGATGGGCGCGAACAAACCCCAGATCACACCGTGCAAAGTCTGTTGGCAGCCCTTGTCTGAGCCGACACTGCCCGTGGCACAGGCAAGGAAGGAAGCCAAAGCAGACAAGCCATCAGCGCCGTGCAGTTCTCAGCACTCCCGCCCTTGCCAGGCACAACCAACAGGTCGTGCATCCCTCGCTCTGACATGTTCTGGGTCCTCTTGCCCAGCCACATGCAGCCCTGTCCTCAGCACCCACCTGCCAATCCAGGGAGCTCAGCACCAATGGCAGCCCCTTCCTCCCCACCCTGGCACAGCCCCCCAGAGAGGGTGAAGGGGCTGGGTGCTCCCGCATTGTTTAGCCACGCTCCCCCCATAGCTGCCAGCTCCTGCAGCAGCGGGGAAAGCTTTCCCCTGCATTGTGCTGCACCCCACATCCGTCCCTCCCTGCCCCCAGCTCCTACCGCTCTCCCCAGCCCAAGTCACTCATGGCCCTTTTCTCCCCCCATCAGCTGACAGAGCCCAGCCCTCTGCAGACCAATGCCCCCAGACTCCAACACCACAGATAGTCCCAGTCCCCCAGCACCCCACACATCCCTGCCCCTCAATGCCTCCAGACCCAGATATCCCCCACCCTAATTCTCCCAGACACCCCAACTCTCCAGCATCCTGCACCCCAATGCTTTACATCCCTATGTCCCCAGATACCCCAGCATCCCTGATACCCCTGCACCCCAGTGCCCCCCAACCCCAGCTCCCACCACCCTCCTGCTGCCAGACACCCTCCCACACCCTGATGCCCCCCCCAGATGCCCCAAAACACACTAATCCTTCCAAACCTCCCCCAAGCACCCTGCCCCTGGGACAGGAGGTGAGGAGCACCTCCACCACAACATCCTCATCCCATTGCAACCCCATCCCCGTCCCTATCCCCATCCCCGTCCCACCTCCCCTGGACAGATCGATGATGCCCAGGACATGGAGTAGCTTGAGGCTGGAGCAGAGCAGCAGGATGATGCCCACCGTTTGCAGCCCCTGCAGGTCCCAGTGTGCCCCAGCAACCGACATCCCCAGGCACGCAGCCCCAGCAGGCAGCTGGTCTGGCAGCAACAGACCCAGCAAGGGAGGAGAGGGGAGGGCAGGGGAGGAGAGACCTGCCTTGGCCCTCCCTCTTCCCGCCCCGGCACCCTCCGGGGTCCCTCGGGGCACCCAGGCTGCAGACGAGGGGAGAGCCCATGCATGTGCCCAAGGGACTTAAGGGCCAGCTCTCACCCCAGGTCCCCCAGGGCACCCCACTAAAGTCACCCTGCACCTACACAGCCTGGCACAGGCACCGCGCAGCCCTGGAAAGCCACGGAGGGGTGCAGAGCTGGGTGCGTGGAGGAGGCTCAGCTGCTCCCAACTCCCACCCCAACAGCAGCACATGGTGGCACCGACCCTGGCACCAAGCCGTGCACAGGGACCCTCGAGCTCATCGCTCACTGCTCCCCAGGACACTGCTGCCACCCAGCCCAGGGGCAGCCCTGCCCAGGACAGCCCCTCTGCCCCCTCCCAGACAACCAAACCTGGCCCCCCAGCAGTGCCCCCCACCTTGCATGTATCCACAGCATGGTATGAGGAGCTCCCTGCCTCAGAGCTCAGCCTCGTCCACTGATCACCTCCACGGACACCTGCCACCCTCACCTCTTCCCTTTTCACCTCCTGGGGGAACCTGTGCACCTCTTTGC